GCGCCGGCTTTTTGCTGGTCGGCCTTTTTCGTAGCGTCCTTGGCCTTTCCTTTCCCTTTGCTATCTGCCTGTTTCTCCTTTTCTTTATTCTTGTCTACGCTTCCCGAAAAATCTTTTCGCTTCAAACTCTTGTCGTATATAGCCGCCATGAGCTCGCTACGAATGCGGGTACTGGCACGTCGACCGTACCACAGGTGCTGGAGGTCCGACTGCGCCTTAATAATCGATGCACAAAATGCAAGGATAGCATATACATATGCACGTGCGCGTATCTCGCGTGGGTTGAGGATCAGTTGGATGTAATGGTGCAATAGCTCTATCGGTGGGGTATTGTTGAGGCTCAAGTGTGGACTGTCCGAGGAATTGTTGGCTGGTTGCGAGACAGCGTCGAGGATTTGCTTGAGGAAGAATGGGCTGAGGTAGTTGCACACGACAGAGGTGAGGGTGAGCGAAAAGTCGAGGATGAGGTCGAGCGAGTTGGCCTTCCATAACCTCTTGAGGAGCGAGATACGCTTTTTGGTGATGGGAGAGGGTCCTTTGGGAAGGAAAGTGGAGAATTTCATAAAGAGGGGTTTAGATTGCAGGGTAGGCGAGAGCGCCCAGACGTCGGACTCGCTCATCGTTCGTCCTGTACCCTATTCGTCAAGTAGTTAGAAGGGAAACAGATACGATTCTGAAGAGGTTACTTACCCTTTTGACGAGGGGCCTCACCCAACTAAATGTAATCCATTTCCAGAGACGGGTATAGTCTTCGGGACTGACCGTCTTGCCAATCTCGCCTCTATGTACGCCAGGAGGAGGCACGCCAATGGGTAAAGAGACCACAGTGGCGATCAAAACCCCTAAGATGAAGAAATGGGCCATCATCTCTATTGTCTTCAAACGAATAGGGCGCGTAATAGGCTCGGTGTGTTGGTGTTCGGCGTAATGGACGTAAATGATTGCGCCAATATTGAGACCTGTTACGGCTACCTTTGCCAAATAGAGGGTGAACAGGTCGTATGGTACGACGAGAATCTTGCTGCGTATGAAGAATGGTCGCACGACTGCGTATGACCATGACCCAATAAGCAGAAGCGTCTTGACGACTTCATGCATAGGTACGCGCGGCTTTTCACTCTTTCCATCGTTCACTTGACTTGTTCTGAGATGTATCATTAGGAGATTACAGAGCCACATAATCCAGAAGGCCAATTCGACCATGGCAGGTACGGCGAGGAACCACCTCTTCCA